TGTGTTTGGTGGGGGTTGCTTAAAGGGAAAAAATCTAAAAGAGTAAAACTCTTCAACAGGATTTATAATTAGGGCACAATTATATCAGCTATGTTTTAATCTGAAAGGAAGAAGACCACTACAGGACCAGGGCAGAAAATAAAATCCTTCGCTTGACCTTCTGGCCCTTGTTTCCCATTATATCCCTTGTTTAGCTTTGAAAGAGACCTCGACAAGAGGTGGGTTAAATTTATTGCTTCTCTCCATCTGCTACAAACTGTTTTTGAAAACGTTACTTGTTGCTGCTAATGAGTTCACGGACTGTTTTTTTTGGGGCTGATTTTCCAGGGGCTGAAATGAGGATGGGTATGCAGGGAACGGTGGCTTTTCCAAGGCAGAAAATCAAGGTAGCTCCAGAATGGGTGGTTCCTGATCAATCGTCCTTAAAAATCAGCCTGGTAGCTGCAGAACTTGTGTGTTTGTAGCTATTTATCACCTGGATGGGTGCTGTGTTGCACCGCTGAGGGAGCAGTGCATGGCCTCGATGGAGGCCTTGATGGAGCCGTAGGTGCAGCTGTGCTGACCCAGCAGGAGCTGGCATCGCAGCCGGCCTAACAAATGGGTGGCCTGCACTCAGAGTGCTTACCCAGCACATTTCCCATCGCTTCCATCAGGTGCATTGGCAGCAAGGCCCAGAGGTAAAAGGCATCTCGTCTTGGCCACCGTCTGTAGAAGGCTGCGTCTTGGGCCACTGAGTAGGTCACCTGCACATCTTTTGATGTGTTGACCTGCAGATGTGCTGGGTTTCACATGTTTCCTGCTGCATTGGTGTGTAGCTGTCAGTTCCCGCAGCTCTAACTTCAAAAAGCACTTGGCAGTCAGGGTTTAATGATAGTTTTCTTCACTGAAGCTGAGAAATTAAGCTGCTAGGGACTTCCAGAAAGCTGATGGGGCTTCCAGAAAGGACCCATACAGCTTTCTTCACTTGGAAATGTCTGAGGGTGAAGGTGAGATGCTCAGGGTGTTTTGCACCTCCAGAAGCCTTCAGGCCTCTCTTCCCCTCTCCACAGGGGAAGATCTTTAGAAACACAGGTCCCAAATTCAAGTGATGTTCCCATAGCTTGGATTTCTGCCTGTACCACCTTGTCCAATATTATTGGATATTAATACTTGAGCCTCCTCAAAAGTGACCTGTTGCAGCAATATCGGAGGAAGAGAGATGCTTTAAGAGATCCTAACCAGCTTCCCCAAAGCCACTCATTCCCCACTAGGAAGCTGTGCGACCAAGAAGGACGAGGAGCTGCAAAGTTTGGCATGGGACTAACTATGTTTAGTTTAAATGCTTTTGTATGTAAAAGGGGGCGGGGAAGAAATCAGTTACTTTGGGAGAGTGGAGCTGTCATCTTAGTGTGATCACTCTGCCAAATTAATTTCAAGATGATGTATTTGCTCATTAATTATGGCATTTTTAGGTAAATATCATACTTTATTTGCATGCTTAACAGGACTTTGACCTTTTTGGCAATTTTGCCGTGAAATCCTTTCCTTGCATAGCACTGTTGGAGGCTTGGGGCATTGCTTTTCTTGACAAAATCTGTTTTGAACTGGAGTATCCCACTCCAGTCCAGGACCACCACGTACTAGGAGATGCATGTACAACACACATAGACATTTTCATTCTTCTAGAGAACAGTTGTGTTGATTTTGCCTTGATTTTTTTTCAAATTCTTGTCCTTCCTTCTGCCTTTGAAAGTCACGCTTTCTCTAAACCTGAGCATCCAGCAACACGTGTTGCAAACAAGGGAACCAACAGCTATGAATCATGTCCCAGTATCCCAAGTACCCTTTGGTGCAAGTGCGGGGACAAAACATTCCTCCTGAGGCTTATAATTCATCTTTATGGCTGCTTTTGCAATGCTACAATTAACTAATTACTTCTGCTTGTATGTATATTAAAAGAAAAGTAAAGCAGAAGGTTGACTCGAGTTTATGTGGGTACGTTTATGCCTTTGCTGGGAACAGCATGTTAAAGCTGTGCTCTTTTCCGTTTTAAATGTCAGCTTTTACTGAGCAATCTATTCTGCTGTTGCAATGACTTATTAAAAAGAGAGATACAGTGAAATGCTAAGCAAGCTCAACAACCCAGACAACTGCTTGTATCTCCTTATTTATTTATTTTGCATTTGCCTCGGCCCAGCAAGTTTAACTCCTGCCCTGGAGACAAAATGAACTGCAAATGCATAACTGATGAAATTGGACCTAGCAGTGCATAATCAAACCTTGTTTCCCGGAAGTGCAAGTCAATTTTGTCCACCAATACCATAATTTATCTGTAAAAGTTTTGGCCTTAAACTTTATGAAGTTACATATTGAATTATTACCAATTTCAGGCTGTTACTTGTACCCTAGAATGAAACTTTGCTGAGAACAGTATTAAATTGTGTATACTTACTAATGACAGGCACAAGTTCTCTTCTTAACTTGCAGATTAAGAACACAAATCTCTATCTAGGTGGGCGTAGGTACCACTGAGCTTGTCGTATGAATGAAGGTATAGCAGAAAGCCTTATCAAAACAAGTACCATTTTCCTTCTGTGGGATTTCTTCTTTTTCAAAGCCTGAAGTCACTTTGCAAATAAATGTTTTATGTAACTTGGGAATGGAATATTAGAGAATTCCATCAAAATACTGAAGTCATAGCCATTTTAAGGCGAAGAAAACCAAGCTGCAATGTTTCTGCTGGGTCTAATGACTTCATTATGGCCTTATGTTTTGTTCCATGGAGCTAATTTCCACCACTTTAAATTAGCTGTTATACAACGGGGCTTTTGTGCGAATAAATATGTCAATGATTTCACTACTAATAAGCATTTCTCAAGTTCAGGCGGAGCAGCTTGGATACCACCCTGGCAAATTCAGCAGGAACGTTGGAGAAGCCAGTGACGATTGGAGGCTTTTCTACAAAACGAACTGACAAAGAGCAGTGGCCCTGCTGATCCCCCAAACATTAGCTCCCAGGAGCACAAACAATGGGATTAATGAGACGCTGCTAAAAACAATTAAGTCTGTGCATGGAGTAGCCCGAGGAGCATTATTTTTTAGACATTGGCCAAGAGCAGAGTTGCATCTTGAAGGTGCATTCAATTAGCAGCTGCTTGTGGGGAGAAAATTGATTATGATAAGGGGTGGAAATAACACATTTCACTTATTTGGAGTATAATGTGGCTGCTCTGTCTGAATATGATGTCATTTAGTCCCAAATGATGTATGTTAGACAGGCAAGCACAGCCTTTATGAAGTGATGGATGCATATTATACTTTATACCATGCTATGAGCTGAGATGACTGTAATCACAATATGTGATTGCACTCTGTTCTCATTAATATGTGTTGCTTATATCTTATGTTCCAGGGAGGTAGTCCCTCAAAGTGTGCTGAAGGTCCCATTTGAACCTTTTCATCCCACCAGGTAGGGTGGGATGATTTATTTGCTTTGAAGTAACTCGGGTTGCTTGAGGCCTGTGTCTTTCTAGGTGGACAAAAGCAGGCAAGTGGCTCATTCATCCAACACCCTTCTGCATCTGCACTGGCTTTGTGGCTCTGGGCCTTGGTGCAATCTACTTTAGCTTGGACAAGACTGGCACCATTTGGCTCCAGGAAGTATCTAGGACCTTGTGGAGTCTCCTCAGGTTTAAGAATTGATATTTCTCCTTTTTTTTTTCTCTTTGAACTTTAGCAGAACTAAAGTTTGCATAAGTGAAGGTGCCTCTGTAGACCATGCTCCAAGTCAAAGCAGGTAGTTACAAAACAAGTTTTCGTCCCTGTTTTACAAAGAACCACCTGTGATTGAACAGGACACTTGAATGTTGAAGCAAAGGCTCAATCTCCAAAGCAGCAGTGATTTCTGGTGCTGGTTTCAGTCGTGGGATCCTCGGGGTGGTTTCCTGAACTCACCTCCGTCTTCGTGCAGTCCTTACCGTCCTGTCTCAAATTTGTAAAAGTCCTTGTCTGTTTTTCAGTCTTAGGTAGTTTAAGTTAAATCAAATGATGGCATTGTTCTTGAATTCAAACCACTCTGCTTTTTTTTCCAAATTCTAGAACCATCCTGTAATTGTAGCCTCTCTCTTCCTGGAACAGGGGAAAATTAAGGACCCTCTTGCTTCAGAGAACTTCACTGCTTCTTCACACTGTCCTTGAACTATTTTAAGATTTGAAAAATTACAAATGGAGGCCTTTTGAACAAAATACAGTCCATCTGCATGTCCAGATATATGCAGGTTAAGATCTATTCAGCTATGGTTGAGATATGCAGATTATGAGCATCTGTCTATGAAGATGATGTCTCCCTGCTCTGCCACATGTCAAAGTTAAGGGGGGGGCTTGCCTTAACAATCTAAAATGGTAATTAATCCACAGTGAATTACAAATTTAACAAGTCTTGAGGAAAAGAAAAGAGGGCTTAAGTCAGAGCAGGAATTCAACCTTGACTATATTCTTTGCTCAATCTACCACTGCAATAATTCACTCCTAAGTCTTAGACATTGGCCCTAGACTGATTAAAACAAGAACTCCTACTGGTCAGTAGGATGAACAGTGATAAATTAACATGTTATGTTTCTACCAGCTGTGATGGAATAAGAAGTAAGGTTATGTACTGTATGCTGTAGTTATTAAATTCACATTTGTTATGGAAAAATCAGACTGGGAAAAGAAGAGATTGAGGACAGAAAGAGTAGCAGCAAACCAATAAAACTTTCAGTGATTCAGTAATGTGGATTAAAGACTGGTGGGGAATCCTCTGTTGCTTTAGACTATCAGGGGATGCGGTAGCACCGATGAAAGAACCACAACCAGTTTGTGGTGTTACCTGCCCTCCTCTAGCCCAGCAAAACATACCGGACTAGTATCCTCTAGCCCAGTAGAGTCATACTGGGACTTGCTCCAAGGACAGATGAAAACATTTGTGAGCAGTCATACTCTGGAGATGTCTGCCAGCAAGCTCGTTCCCTCCACCCTGCATGACAAGTTTACTTGATTGAAAAGAGTTGTCTCAGGAATCAACTGGTGCTGGGGTTGAATGAGTATCCTGTGTGGAGTCAAATTCCTTGACAAACTTGCAAAGGAGGTTGAAAGGGCTGGAAAAGTGATCTTGGAGCTGCCCTTTCCCCCACCTCTTTTAGGTCCTACTTTGGCACAGCTTTATCTTTTTTCTCCCTTGAGAGATTTGTTTCACAGAACTCTGGTTTCAGACAATGAGGAGGCAATGGACAGGACAGCAGAAGCCTTTTCCTTTGCCAGTGGTGGTAGGAATCGCTGAGTGCTTTTTTGAGTCAGAGTAGTTTGTTGGATATTTTTAGCATGGATTTAGGATCTTGGCGTTAATTGGGTTCAAGACACATATAAGGAAAGTCGAAGGTGGCTCCTTTCTCTTGGGAGAATCGCTCTTTAGACCTTGATCTGCTGGTAGCTCAGATGTAGGAATATGTACTGAACTCCTAGAGTCAGGAGGGAGAGTTCCCATCACAACAGTATCTCTAGGGGTTTCTATGCTTTTGCTCGACTTTTTACCCCCTTGATTCAACAGAGCATCCTGACCCAGAAAGGTGACCAGAGAGAGGGTGCGTGACACTCCTCAGCATCCCTGTGAGCCAGAATGATGGATATCATTTCACATCAAAGGTAGCTAACCCCTCTCAGAAGCATAGCATATATTCTTAGCTGTGCTTGGACAGCAGAGTTTGAACTCTCGCTTCTTATTCAGACCGTGCACAAAGAGCTGGAGCAGACACCGATTTCCTTTATGAGGGGTCAGTGCCAAGGGAAACAAGTGGTAGCCGTTGCACCTCACGTCTCCCTCAGCACCGTGATGAGAGCCTTGCTCTTGCCCACGTATGGCCTCTGACACTGTGATTATTCATATCCATAAAGCGGTGCCCCCGGAGGTCAATGCAAAAACAGCCTCTCCCCCATAAATTTCTCCTTTCTCGAGCAGCGCACTGAAGGGAGATGGAAGAACAGAAGGGTTTGATGTGTTTTTGTTCACAGCTGGGACCGTGGGTTCGGGGGAAAGTGTGACCTGTTGGTTTAGTGGAGTTTGACAAGTGGCCTTTGCTTGCTCCAAAAGAGATGAAATTCTTCAGCCTGTGCAGCATGACTTTCAGGAGGAGGAGAGTCTGTTGTGTTTAAAAACACACTGGGCTGCTTCTGCATCACTCCTGTTGGTCTGAGCTGGTAATGTTCGTGCAAACAGAGTTATCAGGACCTCTTTGGTCTTGAGCTGGGCTCAAAGTTGCAGCCTCTATGGGGGAGTAAACCATGTTCTAGACCCTGATGCCCATTCTGATGCACTTCAAATCTCAGCAGGGCAGATCTCCCCACATGGTTGCTGTGGACAATAAGGGGGTGAACCTGTGTTATTTTGGAGTATGAACCTGTCTGGTTAGCTTGCTAAGCTCTTCCTTTGAGGGAGAAGATTGCTGGGGATCTGGCAGAAGAAGCAAAGACATGCCCAAACCTTCACTGAAGTAATAGTGATGCAACTTCCCTGTGGCAATAAGGTGCCTTTGGGGGAAGAAGAAAAGCTGGTGTTAGCTACTCATGCCTCTAAATGAAGGTGTGATTTAGGAAGAACAGATTCTTGATGAAGACTGGGTCTGAGCAGAGTAAGCCTTATCAATACAAGGGCCCCTTCTGAACCAAAAAGGAGAAGGAACCAAGTATTGATGCACAACCTGAAAATTCAAGCAACGACCACCTCTTGGCCTTAATTCTCCATGTTCCCACATGGAGATAAGATAGGAGTTTAATGCCACTCATGCCTTTGGTATGATTGTTTGCAACAAGTTTTGTTGTTTGGAACGCATTTTGGGTGTTGTTATGGCTCTCATCCAGGCCTAGTGAACTTGTCCTCAGGGCTGGTGTGGGAGGCACAAGGAAAACTTCATCTCTTTCAAAGGTGATGAGGTAGACACCTGCAACAGCGATCTTGCCACTGTATGGCCATTGCTTTTTATGATCTGGGCTGCTACAGCCTCTACATCAGCTTCAGTGAAGGTACACGGTGTTAATAATACATTTTGTGAGTCTATCTGTGGCTTTGCACACACTTCTTTGGCTCAGGAGTGACTGTACTGACAGTTACAAATTGGTCTGCTGAACTTATTCATTGCTGTAATATTACTTGCTTGACCTTGATACATCTCCTAATGTCATTTTCATCTACTCCTCACTTCCTATCACTTAGATGTCTCTATTTAACCTCTGGTATACCTCTTGTCTGAATCGTAAATCCTTCCTGTTGATTCAGAAATCAAGTGCATCTTGGTGTCCCATCTTACAAAGTGCAACTATGACGCTCCTGCTAAAGGATACACCATCATCAGTTTTCTGCCTGAGATTTTGGGAAGGCGAGATATATTTCTTTTTCTCTATCCATCCAGATATTCATTGTTAAAAAAGGAATGGCATATAAATATTTGATTTATGGTTGATCCACCTGCAGCACCTAAAGTACTGTATGTCCCTGAGGACAGTAACCTTAAATATATCACATTGGAACTCTCTACTACAGAGCACGATGGAGTGGAAATGAGATAAAGGGGATGCTACTTGGGTGCAAGTTTATCTCAGTGTATATTTGGCACCTTTTTCCTGTTTGCTAATGGTATTTTTGCATACGTATCAGGCATTAAGGTCACATCCTTATGGCTTTGGTACAAGAGAAGGCTGAAGTTACATTTCAAAGGGGATGCACATGGTGGTGAACATAGCCTATCTTAACTCACTATTTTAGATCTCTCGCCTTCTCTATATTAATCATCTCTTTGCTTTCCTCTTCCATCTCATCAAAAAAAAACCATTTTCTTCCTGCCTTCAGGAAAGTTGAAGTAAAATAGGTACTCTCTTTGATGTAACCAGTTTGGGATGTACTAACCTTGGCAGCACATCTCTTGGCATAGAGTGAAGTGTTATCAAGAGGTCTTCAATCCGCACAATACATGCTTAATAATGTCAATAAACTTAGCAGGGTTCCTGTCAGAGTCTCTCATTTTTGTGTTGTGAATTGTAATTTATGTGGAATAAGTATTTTCAAATCGTTGTGTTTGTTTTGTGGGTCTTGTTGTTTTCTTTTTCTTCTTTTTCTGACATAACGATCCATATAATTGAGATGGAGCTGTGTCTTATGAAAAAAAAGTCATAATTGCTGATTGAAATGTCTGGTGATTGCATTAATGGATGTAGCAAATAAGAATATCTGAATGCCACTGCCCTCACAGAAAAATAAACATGTGTCTTGGGCCAAAGTTAAACTGTTAAACTCTCAGGCTTTTAGGTCTGCTTTAAGGGTTCTCCAAAACAGAGTGAAGCCAAAGAATTAAACCTACTTGGACTTAAATAGTTTCCAAATCGAGCTGTTACTACCTCTGTTAAATAATGTCAAGGGTTAGAGCTGATTATAATAATGTGGCAAAGTCTGCCCTTGTGCTTCATGTAATATGCTTCCTCTGTGGATTGCTGGGCATGTTATATTATAAATTCTTACTGTCCTGATGGGGAAATTATTCTTGTGCTCATCTCCTTGATGAGGGATGTGCTGAAGCACCTTGTGAGCTCGCTTGGGCTACCCAAGGTCATGCAATGGAGAGGAAAGGGGAGCATGGGATGGCAAGGATTGGTGGAAAAACCTCCAGGATTTCCACAGTGCAGAGCTGTTTTCTCTGCAGTTCAAAATTGCCCCTGCTTTGAGGACTATTTCCTTTAGAAATGGAAGAGCTACAAGGGGAAAGGTAGAGAGTAAGGACTAAGAAGGGTGGCAATGATCATCAATGCAACATTAATAGACATCAAGTCAATTAAATCTGTTATGGAAGGTAACTTTTCTAGTACTCCGTTGTCTCGGTAGTATTTGATGCAAGTCCTATTGCAAAATGCTTCTCTCTTGCCCTGAAGTCCTGTTTTGTGCTAATGTTTGTGTGTGTGTGTGTGTGACGGGGGCACTTTGGATATTGCAATATTCATATATTCATCTTAATGACTGTATTTACCTATAGCATTTTTAGCAACCCAAAAGCGGCCTCATAAGACCACACATGGTAACTTTAAGTGACCTGATTATCCAACAGCTTTGCAGGGTGTTAGAGCTTTCCCTTGTTGCTTGTGCATTATCTTCATGTGAATCCAAGGAAAGCTGATTATAAGGGAAGGGGGAAGAGACAGAGCAGAAGAGGGGAGTCCAAACAATTAGAATTGCAAATGCAGATTTTAATGGGATACTTTTATCCCAGTGAGGCAGGAGCCTTTTTAAATTTAAAGCTGCATGTTAGTTTCTATTAGAAGTCCGACATTTTCTGATTTTATTACGTAAAGCGTTGATAACATAGAAAATTAGATTTAAATCAAGGAAAGCTTACTCCAGGGCACCAGCTCTTGACTAATACGCCAACCCAGGCAAGCACTGGAGCATGTAATTTTATCCCTGCTTGGCAATGTACATAAAGTCATGCTTAAAATCAAGCATGTGAAAAGTCCCCTCGGCTGCTCAATTAAGCCTGCGTCTAGGTGCTCTACTTCTGCAAAGGATCTGGAGGAATCCAGCACCCAAATTCAGTAGCAAAGAGCATGATGGCTAGTACGGGAAACAGTAGAAGTTACTAGTTTATTCTCTACTGTGTTTCTCGAGTTATGAGAGGTAGGTAGCTCTGTCATTAATATCTCATGACTTGTCCAGAAGGAGTCCCGCTTTTGGACTAAGGCCTCTCTCATGTCCAAGATGCTCTGCAAATGCCTAAATAGTCCTACCCCAGGCTCAGCTTGATACTGTGATGCTGGCCATCATCCTTTTCCCTGGGCAAGCGGAGAGATGAAGGAGATGGCGGGTGCTGAAAAGCCCTCCCAAAACCTCCTACCTGCCCAGCTAGGGCGCGTGAAGCTCGTGCGACTCAAAGCATTCCCAATTCCTTCTAATGTCAGGAGAGGCCTTTGATACAGGCTCCAAGGAGAACTCTGCAGGGGCTCCGGGTGATTCCCTGCAGGCAGCTGCTTGCAGATTTGGGGTTGTTTTGCGCAAGTGGGATTTGCTCCGCTAGCCTTAAGCCTGCGGAAATCCATGAGAGCCTTTCTAATGACTCCTTCAGGTGCCTTGTTTAAGGCTTTTTGCTGGCTGGGGCTTGCACAGGGGCCAAAATTGTGCTCCTATCCTTTCAAAGCGCTGCTGCCTGACAGCCTGCTGGTTGAAATCATTCTTTTTTCTTTATTATAAGGAGCAATGATATTCAGCAAATATTGTACTGAACGAGGATGTGTTTGCCAAAAAGCAGAGTTAGAAAAATTAAAAACAGTAGAGTTTGTGTTAATGGATAACAGAAAATATCTTTGAGGTCTGGCTGTCCTGCACATCTGTATTTTGGTTAATAGCCTACAGTTTTTGCAACAAAAAGTGAATTTAAATGCTATGCTTTGCTCTTAGTATTGCTGAAAACCTAAACATGAAGCTGAATTCGCATACAGTGTCTTACAAAACTGATTAAAAAAATTAACATGAAATTGCTAAGTACTGCCCAAATTAACACAAATCAGAGTTCATTACATGGCATTAGGAGCCAATTTATTGCAATCATTATGCCTGCTGTTAGAGAGAACCATATGCCAGCTCCAGAAATAACAAGTATTCTGAATCAGGGTCATTGCAGTCCTATTTGCATATGAAATGCATTAATTGATCTCCTGTGCATATTAAAATGAAACCCACGCTTTCCCCCGCCCCCCACTGCTGAATGTTCTCTCCATAGTTTGTTGTGCAAAGGAAAGCCTTGGGTGGTGGGGAGGCAGAATGGTTTATTAAGAGGAATATTTATTGCCAGCTATGGCCAATTCCTAACACTAAGTAATTGAACTTGGTCCACTCAACTAATTGAGGTCCTGACTATCCTTGTTTTTTTCCCCAGGAGGAAGATATGCCATCCAATGAGTCAGAGTTGAAATACCATGCTCTGGTATGTCAGCTTTTCTGTCTTCTGGAAGTCTTCCAAGAAACATTCTTGGTGCTCTACAAGCTTACAGGAGGACTGCACTGTGTTTGGGAAAGTTGGCCTTTTCCTGAAGGCTTACTACATCATGGAAAATGGAAGACTTTTGTTTTCTTTAGTCTACAGAGAAGAATGGCAGCACATGCTATTCAACTGCATCTCCCATGGGATGCTTCTCTGGTAAGTCAAGTAATCAAGATGAGCCAACCAACTCTCTGGTCAGTAATCAAGATAAGCGTTTTGATGTTTCAGTTTTTGTAAAGAACGTGCATATTCTCTGTGGACAAATAACAAGTGAAAAGATGATAGTTATTTCAGCCATCTGAGGAAGCATCTTACATGGGAGAAGTTATCAAGTCCCATGCCCTAAGCAATCTTTAAAGCTTTGCATGTGGGAAAAGGAGAAGTTCTTTCTGAGCCAAGGGAAGGTTATGAGAGGATCAATATGAAGTAATGTGAGAGAAATGTTTTTGGATGTTCACTTCGGTGAGCTACGTTATGAAGCTGATGGTGGGGAGATGAAGTAGAACAGAAGAAGAGTAGGGAGGGCAGCTGGCTCTTATAGATTCTCGAGTGTAGTTGCTGTCCATCATTGAAGCATCAGGAATATTTTTTCCAGGTTGAGAAAGAGGTGTGCTTCAAGCTGGCAATAAAACCTCCAAGAGTGTCTTTCTAAGGACTCCTGAGCAGACTGCACTTGTCTTTGCCAAGCCGTATGGGTTTCTCTAATCCAGAGCAATCGAGTGGAAACCCTTGATTCCTACAAGCCAGAGAGGGTACTTAGAAAATGTGCATGTGTTTCTCCTCTGTGCTTCTGTGAGGGCAGGTGTTGAGGTGCACTCCCAGCTTTGCAGGTGACATAGGGCTTATAGGACCAGCCTTGCCCACTGCAGACAAGTTTGCATGTTTCTATATATTGTTTAATGAATGAAAAGAGCATTTCTGCTGCTAGCATCTGACAGTTGAGTGGCTGTCACATTCAGCAACAAAACTGGAAGCAAATTAGAAATAAGAATCCAGGGCAAACAAAGTCATTATATAGCAGAGTGACCAAAATAGTCAAGGAAAGCCTTAAACTTTTTTATCAATTAATGTGCACATGATTGCCGTTCCTAGCAGGGTGAACAGCTGTTGTGCTTACCTAGACAAGAGGCTAACTTCTCCATAATGATGCAAGTTATTAAAATCTTTGGAGATAATGTTATCAGGAGCAGCACACGGCGCTACAGTGTTTATTGTCCACGTACTCTCTTCCTGCCAATGCAGAAAACACAAACACCTTGCCCTCTACGTGGAAAGCCAGATAGGCTCAAGCAAGAATTTGAGAACTGGGTGCTATTAACCTTCAGCGAACTTAATGATACCAGATGAACTTGGGAATTGCATGAGGAAAATAAGTCTGTATTTGGACACGTGTTATTTTGCACTCCTGACTAGCAAATTTAGCTTGTAATCTTCAAGTTTAGTCACAGCACTGAGCACCACACAGACACTATCCATCCCAGTCAGGAAGGATGTGCAGAAATGGCATTGACAGTGTTATTTTTCCAGTTTGGGATGGAGGCAAGGAATAGTGGAAGTAGAGGAGTCCAAGGAATTAGGTATTGGAGTCTGTAAAGCATATTGGTGCCATCCACATGTGAGTGTCCAGGCTCCCTGCCTAATGCATGGGGGATATAGGGAGCACTGAATGGGATGCACATGAGTTGGCATGTGGAGCAGGGGGTTACCCGTGGCCCATTAAAAAGAATTGCTGCAGGAAACCCATGGCCAGCTGAAAGGAATTGCTGTGGCTGAAGCTCTGGAGCTAGGATGCTGAATGGGCCAGTGCTGCCATAGCTTATGGTGAAGCACTTAAATGAAGAGAAACCTTGATTTGGGGTCTGCTTTGGGCTGAGGTGGGATATGCTTAGATAGGACCGCTCAGAGTGGACAGAATTTGCCCTTCCAGGGGGTTTTAAAACCCGGGAAGGAGATACGGAACACCAGATGCCTTGAGCAGTGCCTGAAATCTGGAAGATGTGAGGCAGCATGCTGGTGGGATGTAGTGCTACCCTAGGAGTGCAGAACAGGGTGCTTGGGAAGAGGAGTTCTGGTTCATCTGAAAGGAGCTATGTTAGCTCCGTGAGCCAAGTCAGCAGGAGACGTTGTGACAACACCTCTTATCCTGCCTAATTTCAAAAGATGAATAATAAAGGTCTTGGAGAGAAGCTAATTTTAATATTTATAGGAGAACTGCTCAACCTAGCAGGGGATTTGCTTCTCCTCGCTTTCACCAGCCAGACAAGTGTAATGTAGTAGTCATTTTACATCCATTTTTATGTTGCTCTTCCCTCCTGGCAGGATTTCACACATTTCTGTCTCTTGCTAGGTGAATGAAAGATGGGACTGAGCACTCATCATATTGGTATGAGCTCTGTGCTTCTTGCCTTCATGCCAACATTCAAGTCCCTCTTCTTAAGGGTTGTTTCCTTCTACTTTCTTCTTTTGGAAGACCAGAAGGCCAATGTGATGTCATGCTGTTGCCCAAGTGCTCGTGTGGTGGGCATCTTCTCCAGGACTTGATCCTCTCCATAGAGAGGTTTAGCATGGTCAGGCTGGAGAGAGGTGGTGGAGGTGAAGGTTGGGCTTTGGTTTGCCTGGCCTGTAGTGCTAGGTTGTAAAGACAACATCCTTCCCCAGAGACCATCTCGCCAGCTTCTTCAAGGGGAATGCCCTAAGGGGAGATATCCCATGGAGACACCGCAATACTGAGAACAGCACAACTGAGAGAAATTTTCTTCTTTTTTTTCAATGCCTTCCACATCCGTTTGGAGCATACTTCTGCAGGTTGCTTATGAGAATGTCACATGGGAGCATGTCAAAAGCTGCGCAGAAGTTCAAGTAAATCATTTCTACTGCTCTTCTCCTTGCTCGCTAGGCCAGTCACCCTGTCAAAGAAGGAATTTACTTTCCATCCATTACCCAGGAAAAGAAACAGCAGTGCACAGTAAAATGTCTCGTTATCCTCTTCACAAACTTATACTTTCACAGATAGATGGATATGCATCCTACCCCCCCTTACTCGGCTCCCTGATGCTGTTCAGCATGTCTGGAGGAGCGGGTGTTCTTAATGAAACGAAGCACGAATTTCTCTCAAGTTTTGTTTGATGTTTTGATTTCTAAAAATATTTGGAGTTATTTCGGCAAGTGTAGGAGGCTGTTTGTTTTATGATTCCTAGAGATTTATTCTCCTTCCGTGGCACTCATCAAATATTTTCTGTGGCAGCACAAAATACGTCTTATAAAATTGCATTCTCTTATCAAATGGCATTAATCTAGGGTTGGGACTTACCCGGAGGTGAGGAATAAATTGAAACCAGCAGTGTTTAACATGGCACACAGTGCAAGCCTCCGCACCAAATTAATACTAAATCCATCTTTGACGTTATTTATGCTGTTTGGAGCACTGAGCAGCTCTGTTTGCTTTTAACTGAGAAACAGTCCCTGCAGTTCAATATTTAATGTTACCTATGATTCTGGAAAGCGCAAAAAAAATTATTTCTTGATTCTTTAGCCAGAAGGAAAAAAAAATAAACATGATGGAAATCACTTTGGGACACAAATGTCTTGCATAGCAATGAGGGAAGGAAAAGTGATTCTTTCATTTATGTAGCTCCATAGTTTTTGTATTTTAGTATATTAAAATGAGGCTAGTATTTGACTGATTGCTTTGAAAAATTACTGAGACGGCTATTTATATATACATATATTATATACAGCTTTTTCCCTTGCTGGATATCGCTAAAGAAAGGGAGAAAAGCTGCATAGGCTGGTTTGCCACCATTGCACACGTCCTTGGGTGAAAACTGAGATGCAAACTTGGGGATTGCTGTTCATCCACTTGGTAGTTTTGAGTTATTTTGACAGTTCCCCTAAAGAGAGAGGGATAACACTTCTGCAGCTCCTTTAGCTGTCATATGGGGCTTCAAAGCAAGTCTTGTCAGTCCCTTGTGCAAAGCCCTCAAGCATGGATGGAGTCTGAAGCCAGGTGAGATCAAGGTTCAGACTTGCAAGGACTTTCAGCAGGTATTTGCACACTTCATTCCTCCGAGATGGAAAGTGTCTGTGCAGCTAAACAGGTTGGTAGCTCTTGCTCCAGTATACCCAGACCATGAAGGAAGTGGGGAAAACACTGCTGTGAAGGACAAAAACAACTCCATAGTTTCTTGTGAACCTTGGGGGTCAAGGACAAAAACAAATCATTTTTTTTGGAATCTTGGGGATCAAGGACAAAAACAACTCAATAGCTTCTTGTGAAGCTTGGATTTTTCTAGATATCCTCAAAAACACTGTTTTATATGTGCATTTCAAGTGCTTTTATTACATGGGATGAAGGTGGCGATCACTCTTCACTTGGAGATGAGGAAGCCTGTTCCATAGAGCTGCAGTGCTGTGAGTGGTAGAGACCTTGGACTGATCATTGGCTAAAAGGGCTTTAGATATTGGAAAGAACAAAGATGATGCCATTCTCCTCAGCTTCAAAGCGGTTAGCTATTACATGCTGCGTAAGGATTGAGAAATAATCTTTGAAGGAAGATGAGAAGGGGCTGTGCCTCTGTCAGTTAGGCTTTTTTAAAGCTATGAAATTTCACCTAACACCTAGGACCTGGTTAGGTCCTATTTAAACCTTTATGGTGGCAGCAAGCAGGCAGCTGTATGAAGGACACCAGTCGATTTATTGTTCAGTGAGTTCTCCTTGAAGCTATTCAGGATATTCCAAATACAGTGTATTGTATTTTCTTTGTTAAATTTTGCAGTTTTATGGTGACTAGAGAAGAGTAATACCTATTTGTCAGTCTTTTACAGGGTTCTGAAAAAAACCCCTATGCATTAGTGGAGAGTCATGCTGGGATGTGCGGAAAGCATCAAGTAAGAAGCAATGTGTTACTTCATTGCTTTAAGATTTCCTTGCATGTCCCCAACACTGAAGTGTTCTGCTTATGTGTGTAATGAAGGCTGACTCTGCTTGGAAGTTTTGTCTGTTCCCAGGATAATTCTCTTGGATCCTCCTAATAAAGAAAATTAATTTTCTTATTTTAGGAAAAATAGCAAGGGGCTTTTATTAGCAAACTCAAGCTATTCTGCTTCAACCAGTGCCAATTACTTCTGTTGTCGGGCCATCAGTCTATGCAAGGGGCATCTGAGGGACTGTGTTCAGGCTGTTTTGGGGTGCAGTGAAATCACCCGAGTTGTGTTTCAGGGGTAGTACATGGGCCAAATGTGCCATGAAGGTCTAGCATAAAGTTGCAACTTGGTCTCTCCTGTGGTCCTGGTGTCTTCTGCCCTGCTGTCTGTCCAACCCTGGCACAGCAAAGTTGGCTGTGCATTGCCCACTTCTGGCTGCTAAGGCAATTCTTTCTTTTTTTCTGAAGAGTTATCCCTGGAATAAATGCTTAATAATGGAAGCAGAGCAAGAAAAGGGCTTTAGATAAGGCTTTACATGACTTGGTATTTTGTAGCTGAGAGGAAGGGGAAAATGGGAGCGTGCTGCAGTGCGGAATGACATTTGGAGCCTGATCTGCAGATTGTGAAATAGAAAGGATGAAATTATTGGGAGGCACAAAGTTCACTTTCGCATCGCCCGGTCGCTGCTTGTGCGAACTTTGGTTTCTGCAATCTGCTATTGCAGCTCCAGCACTCGGACTCAGGATATTACTACTGAATTGGGGCCATTCCCACAAAAAAAAAAAAGTATGGAAGAGGCTCTGTAGTACGTGTCCTTCAGGAAAGAGCAGCTGTGCTCCAAAGGATGGTTTACTTTGGACCAAGCAATGAACCCAGCTTTGGGTGCTGAGCTTGGCTGTGTTTTGACCTACACAGGAGCAGTAGGTTGAGAAACAGGGTGGATGCTGAGATGAAATATGAGTTTGCACAGAGCCAAAGATGTCCAGGCCCATGACTTAAGCTCTTAGTTAACACTGGTATCACCGGCATGTTGTGAAATGCAATAAATCCTGATCCCCTGCTCGTAGGCAATAGTGCGACTCAGCACTGCTGACCATTGCAAAGCGTCGATGTGAGAGCTCAGCATCCAGGCACATGCTTGCTTTCCAGCCAGGTATTGATATCCATGGGAGGAGGATTCTCAGGGCTAAACAGAGGCATTTAAATTCCAATATTTCCCTGTCATTATTTTAACATCCTTCGTTTCGCCTAAGCGGCTGAGCTGGCTCCTCTTTTTCCTTTGCATCTCAAAGACACAGTAAAAAAAAAAAAAAANNAAAAAAAAAAAAAAAAAAAAAAAAAAAAAAGGCAGTTTTGTATAACACAATTGCAGCAAAGTGCTACAGGGAGAGAATATATTTTGTTTTGCCTCTTGCTTGGAGAAACGGTGAAAACCAGCCTTTTTAAGGCTCTGTCAGACCTTTGCTTTCCTGCCCTCACTTGGCTGCCAGATGGGAGCCTGCAGCATCTTTCTAAAGAGGTTTATAATGGAAACTGGTGAGACATCCTTAAGTGCAGCAGATGAAGTGATTGCCTTCACAATGCGGCCCAGCGTGGGAAGAGTAACAGCGGTTGAGGAGACCAAAGGAAAGCATGAACTGTCCCCAGAAGCCATTACCTTAGTGGAATTTATCTCAACCAGGTAATTCACATAAGTCAGGTGCTCAATGGAGTTTACTGCAGAGGCAGCAGCACTATTTGTGCACTCTGCGCCTAAGCTGCTGCCTTGTGCTTAGGCACAAAAAATCTCCTGTTTTCTGGAGACAGGTTAGACATTAGCCATCGGGAACAACTGTTTCCCTTATGCAGATCACTTTTTGTCCTCCTCTTGGCATCTGTTCCCATCTGCTTCTCCAGCATCAGTCCCAGATTCAGCAGGAGCTGGCTGAGGAATCTCTTGCTGCTCAGATGAAGCTCTCAGTCCTTGCAGCTAGTGCTTTTAATTGCTAGTGGTGATGATTGAGTTCCACTAATTGTGATTTATTAATGTTTTTTCTTTAACATGTATATCCAAGCAGTTGTCATTGACCCAGATGAACAAAAGAGGATAGGGGTGCAAAGATGTGCACAACCGATGGCAAGAATGAATTTCTTCTAGCTGTCCAACAGCCCAGTAATCAGTATCTGGGGCACAGGTGCAAAGTGCCACATAATAACTGCTAGTGTCATATGCAGGCAGATGGTCTCAATGTTTTGGAGGGGAGATAACACTGAATTTTAACAGGTAACAAAAGGATTGGCATGGTGTGAACAGAGCATCCGAGCTTCTTGGCTGCCAACCAGAGCTGCTCTGTCATATTGTCCTGCCTACAAGACGTCTGTGGACATTTCCTACATCTGGAAAGATGCTTATGCCTCTTAAAGAAAAAAAGGATGAAAACAGCAGAAAGATTTGAGGTCTTTGCCATTTTCTCATACCTTTTGAGCTTCCTGAGTTGATTGCTTTCTTGGTGTGGATGCTTTTAATAGAAAGAGATCAAAATGAAGCTGAGGAGATGAGCTTCCTTGTAGAGCCAGGTAGGAATAAGAAGCTTGTGTCTGTGCTTCTGATGAAGGGTTTTACCCCTCATTTAGAGCCCACCTGATTATGTTAGCAGGGAATCTTTGGTCTCTTGAAGAGACTAAATATTTTCTGGTGAGGAGGTTCCTTTTAGTCAGGGAGAACAGCTTCCCTCACAGGTGCCTTTCAATGCTGAAATGGGCAGAGCTGGAGAAAAAAAAAGAGAGGGAAAAACACATGTATTTGAGCAGGCAGGGTTTCCATTCAGAGCCAAGGAAGGAGGGGAAATTTCAAA